CTCTCTCTCTCTCTCATTCAGCCGGCCAAAGTTTTAATCGATCAAGCAAGAGCGAAAGTATAAATGTTTCAATTGAACGATTAGATTAGATCGGTTGAACGATCCTTGACTGATTAGTTGCTTAATTGGCGACTGATCGGTCGATCACTTTCGTCCGTCCGACAAAACCGATCGTCGATCGATAGTGTGCGATCAATGCTTCGATTCGGTGGAAATCGAGGGAGATCGCCGCGGTTCTCCCATTGTGAACTTGATTCCAGTTGACCGGTACAGTGAATCGGAGTCGCAGATCGGCAACAGCGGTAGCGAGGACAATTGCAGCCTCGTTAATTCACACGGGACGACGACGGCCAATAGTGGCAACGGCAACGGTAACAAGGAGACGTCCGGGAAAAACCACTCCGTGACTGGCCAGTACAGCCAGAATGGATCGGTCGCAACATCGGCCGAGATCGCTAGACAATTCGCGAACGGGCACGCGAGCAACGGCAGCATGGAGCACGTCTCCTTGAAGGAGAACACCGGCAAAGAACCATCGAAAAATAAGTCTGCCAACAACGCGAAAAAGAATAGCAACAAGAGGTCCAGGAATAGGTAGAACAACGGACCACCATAACCGTCATCAACATTTCTCCCTTTGTTCGATTCCGTCGATGTATCAGATCTCAACTGGTTTCTTTTTTTTTTTTTTTTTTTTTACAATAAAGTTTCACTCACGGGGGAGTGAACTACACTATACGCTAAGGCTTATTAACGTTGTAAGAAGCGTTAGGTTTAGTTGGAACGATAAACTATACTGCTTGGGTAACGAAGAGACGTAACGTTGGCCGTTTCGCCATGCAAAAATATAGATAGGCAAGTCCTGTACAATTTTTTTTCTCCTTTCGACGAGGATGAATTTACATGTAAATTTACTGGTACAGTTAGTCGAGCAGTATCTATCGTTAGGTTTAAGAGACAAGATGTAGAAACAGCTGCGAAACCGTTTAGATCGACTCGTCGTACTTTGTAATTCGTTTCTGCTTCGCGAGAGATCTGTTACCATTAAGTTAAGATCAGAAATCTTTGTAATCTTATTGTTTAAGTATTATATACACGAGATATATTTGTACCAACCGATTTGTATTTTTTTCTATATAATTTCGTTAA